AATTTTCGACAGCAAAAAATCGTACCGGTTGGAGAAAGCAAACATCACAGTCACGTTCCTATAAGGCCACACCGACTTAATTTTATGGATGCCATCCACGCGCGCATTGATTTTCGCCTGTTCTAAAAAAGATCACCTCCACCGAGGCTCTGGCCGGCTCTAGGCCTCGGTAGTCCATGGTACTCGTAGTTAGTGACAATACGGAGCCGGTGGTAACTATGGAGGATGGCACCCAGGCTACCAAAGCTCCTCGACTCAATAACTTAGTACATACGTACAGTGCCGTTTCATAAATTCCGCAAAAGGCCAGCATTTGCCTGCTTGTATACGTCGCTATGTACTGCCGCAAATTCACAATACCAGTGTTGTATTCCAGCTGTGGATTAGTAGCATTTTTATTTTTGGCCAGAATTTTTTTTTTATTCACCCGCGCGCACTAGTTTGGGGGTCTTCAGAGGATGTCATCCATAACCGTTAAGGCGGTGTGGCCTAAACTGAGAGACAAAAGTAGTAGAACTGTGCCATGCATACGGAAAGTGAGTTGTTTTGTTACAGTACTGCCATCTGATTATAACTAGACAAGACGCCCGTTGCCAATGTCATGGCCACGTCTGGGAACTACGTGCGCGAGGACCACAGGCACATCTGGAAAAACCGTTACATCATAGCTACTTCTGCAGACGAGACCTTGTTCAACCCAGTAGTAAACAAGAGTTCCGAGATCTCATACCTCCATGAAATATGGGCTTGCTTTTTCGGCATTAATTATGCAAATAACCTCTACATTAACATAATATATGCATAGCGACGCAAACCTTTAAGTAACTTACACATGTTACGAGGTATAAAATTCCCATCATTCACCAATAAGGATTCACAGAATTTTCACATTAATTATGCAAATTAGGTCATCATTTGCATAATTGGTATCTGTTCATGTTCCGCCTGCCACAGATTAAATAGATTACATGTATAGCAGTACAATTATATGAAACACTGTAATTATAGAATTTCCTCATTAATTATGCAAATTAAATCCTCATTTGCATAATTTGCATTTAATCACACACAGACACACAGACAGACAGACAGACAGACAGACACACACACACACAGACATACAGACAGACGCGCCAAAAACAATACCTCCATTTTTCATGGAGGTAATTATAGTAAGTCTTAGGTCCGCCATTTTATTCTGTACGGATTTCGTATACTTGTACGTTAGTACTAGTTATGCCAGTTTTGCCCTATTAAATAATTTTGTCAATCTCTACTTATGTACATGTATTTCCAGCGACCAAAGGAGTTTGGAGCTCCGGAGGCTATGGCATGGGTTTTCTGAAACACGTGGGGAGGAAAGCTGGTAGCAAAAAGATCGACTGTCATACACCCATTTCCCTTTGTTGTCCTCAAGCTTTTTAGAGTCATACAACCCCCCCTTCTCCCTTACTCTTTCGTCCTAACCCCCTATTTTTTATTCATCTCTCTAGCCCTTTATTTATCAATGAAATAAGAGAACTTGTAAATATATAACTTGTAAAATGCAGTGGAAGACGAAATTCATTTCATCTCTAGCTGTCCATTTTATGACGACATCAGAAAACAATTATTTAGCACCGTCTCCAAAATGCTCCCCTTCTTCCCCACCATTCCCTACCACAAAAAACAATTTTACTACTTAAATCAAAGAACCCACATATCATAGAAGAAGTGGGTAAATTCGTCTTCCATTGCCTTAAAAGAAGAAGTCAAACCCAGTAAAACAAGCCCCATGTATGTTGTAGAATATAGTATAATACTACACGTAGATATAGTCTCACATACCACTGTATTTTCTTTCTTATGTTGTTTGTAACTGCAATTAGCCCTCGGGCATGTATTTGCAATAAACTTTCTATATTATCCATCCACACACTTCACTCCCCGTGTATAGAACATGTACTAGTCTGGTTGAAACATTAACAATGTCCTCATAGTTGTGTGTAAGTTGACCACACACCTCTGGCCTTGTAGTCATCCTGATGAAAGCACTCACTCTGACACGGCCATCTAGAGTGTCCATCCTTCTCGGTGGTCATAGCAACGGCTAAAACTGACCACAGCCCCTGCTGTGTTGTCTTGTACATCATAGCTAGCCGCTAGCAGTTGGTAAAACACAGTACCATAAGATCAGCACATATACAGTTGGAACCTTGCCAATATTTTTAGAAATGCTTATTCTCATGATATCTTTTATTTATTTATATTCATTTAGCACATACATACATAATGAAAAATTATACAAAATAATACAAAAGAAATAAATGTGCAAGAGCAGGAAGAAAAGCCGCAATGGCTTATTTAAAGTCCTCCCCTTCGTGATTTTATAATTTCTACAGTTGTTGAATGAAATATAAATAAAAATGAAGAAGTAATAATAAGATAATAATCAAGTACAATGAAAAAGTGAATCAAATTAACAAAATAATTAAGTTTAGCATAAGTAATGAAACAATACAGTGAGCCAAACTAGATAAGAAGGATTGGCTACAAGAAGATGAAAATATAACAAATAATTAAATTAGTCAATACATATATCAAACAATATAATGAGAAAAATATGAAAACGCTGTATAGAAGGATATGATTTGAATGTTAACCAGACCTAGGGAAGTGTGGGGTTATTTATAAAATCAGCTTTGGCGTGAGTTTTAAAAATGTTTAATATCTTCTCGCAATCCTTAATGTTTTTATTTGACATTAGCCACCACGCCCCCGAGCTTCTGATGATAACAGTTACTTCATTGATGATTTCATTTTCTTTACTGTGTCCTGTAAGCGATTTAGCTGGTAACGTTATACGTTCATAGTCACCACGTCGGATCACTTTTAGTTCAATTTCTGAATAAAAAGAAGAAAAAAAATTCTTTTGGCTATAGAGAACAAGTTTATTCAATAAGTTAAGTTAATTTAAGAGAAAACATACTGTTTGTAGCCATGAAAAAAATACTTTAAGAAAAGGATACAAATATATGGAACATTGGGATTTTTTTTCACACAATCAGTGCTCTTGCTTTGCTTGCGTTTCGATGTCTATCAGACGCCTTCGTAACTTGAGCAAGGGAAGAGAAACACTGGACAGTATAAAAGAAAATCCCAATATAATATCCTATATTATACCAACCTGGTGAAATAATTTTGGTGGATACAAATTTGTTTTATTTCGAGCGTCGACGAGAGAATGTTCTGTGTGCGAATGCGGTGCTATATATGCTCCCAGCCCCCCATCCCCCCCAAAAAAATCTTTTAAAAAAATCTTCGGCTCTATTTGGGCGTCTTGCGTCTTACCAACCACTAAGTATCTGATACCAGCCCAGAAAAGAACAAGAAACAGTCATGCCTTCGAATATCAGAGTTATCAACCAAGAATTGAGTTATTCAAAAACTCGTATTTCCCCAGAACCATCGTAGACTGGAACTCGTTGCCACCAAGCACAGTTGGGGCATCATCACTAGAAAGCTTTAAACACCTCCTGCAATCAAATGTACAAAGATTGAGTGTAACAAGTCGTTGGGTGTGATATAGCCAGCTGCCGCCGCGCCGCGTGCATGCGAAGCTGGTGTGTTACGCCGAAGGGCGGTTATACTGGCTATACCGATACAGATACAGATTGCGTGCTAACTTCAAGGTTCACGCTAAGGGTCTGCGTTCCCTTACAGGACACTACTGACCGTAATCTTTAATTAAAAAGGTACAACCTTTCCTAAATATTTCAGGGCTGTGCAAATGACCATAAAAGTAGCCAATAAATATTAGGTTTCTTGGGCTCAGCTCAAAACAGTTATCCACTTGCTCTATTAGCTAACCCTGCATATTAGCAAAAGGATGCAAACTTGGGCATGTATGTACTTAACGAATGGATCATCTTTACCTGACAGCAATAAATTGACCGCCCTCGGACGTGGTGGTACTTTACACCTCTCAGAAATATCTGAAAGTTAGAGATAAATCGTCTTTAATTTTAACACAGATTGCATATTGAAATCGGAAGACATACCCGCACTCCCCTTGAACACAGGTTATGTAAATATTGTAACTTGAACAAAATAGAAGACGAACGCCATTTTGTAACAGAATGTGAACTGTATAGCAAAGAGAGAAATGAACTGTATCTTATTCCCCTATTTCACGCACTTAAGTTCTGTAGAAAAATTCATATTCTTTATGCGACTAGACAAACCACCCATCGAAAAACAGATCTGTACCTTTATCTCTACAATAACTGAAAAGCGAGGAGAAGTTGAACTTATATAACGATAGTTAGTAAATTTTGTTTTGTATCTGTTAACTGTGTTCATTCATCTTGTTTTGTTGTGACCTGTACTTAGCCAAGTGTGGCAGAAATGTGCAATAAAGGTCTTCATTCATTCATTCATTCATTCATTCATTTAATTTGTCACTCTGAAGGGAAACACGTAGTTCTACAAGCGCTATGCGGTGTTCAATCAATCAATCGGTGTTTGATACAAATGTAGCATAGTCTAGACTGAGTACATGTTCAGACTTCACATGAGTAGTCAAAGTCAAAGGGCTAGATTGCAACGCTTCCCTGTGTATATAATTACCACGGAAAAAAGTGAGACCAAATCGTTAATGGAGAACAAACATTTATAGAGCACTGCATTTACTATAGCGAAGGTATCTCTCATTACCAAAACGAACAATACAAGTCTTGTTGGCATTGTCTTAGGACGTATTAGGTTTAGGTGTTGTTCAAGTTTAATTAATTTGGCATTTAACTTTCCAAGTTTATTTTGGGGTGTATTCGCAACGGGCTTGGGACAGAAAATGTTATCCCCTAAAACTCCAAGTGGGACTCTATGTGGATTACCATTTTCAAATCAGCTGTAAGATTTGAGGAGTAAGCATGCAAATACGCACGTAGTCCACCGCCTTTTCAAAGCGCACCGCTTCTTGTGCCAGCAAGTCTCAAGTTTCGGCCTACGTGCAACTTTTGGCCGCCTTTTGTATAAAAGGAAGGAAAGCCAGTGCCCTCACGGGATACAAGGCAAGGAGGCAGTACAGCAAGCACCACCAAACGAACACTCTCTGAAACAGGCCGTTGAAGCTAAGGTACGAGTAATACTATGTTTAAGTAGTATTGTTACTGTAACATGTACATGTAACACATATATACATAGGCATTAACTGTCTCATCGCGTTTTTCACTTTATTTTATTATTTGGGAAAGCAAATTCGGTGTGAACGTAATCTCTTGAACATTCGTTTTTCTTGCGCAGTTATCTTACTGACTCAATGTCCTATCTCGTTATGCATTTTTAAAAAAATGTTTAGACTTTTCCTTCTCTGTTTGTGCCCACTTTAGAAAGGAAAGAAACAACATGGCCGACGTCAAGGACTCCTGGGGGAAGCTGACGGCGTCTGGTTTTGAGGATGCGGGCGAGAAAATATTTCTTGCGTAAGTGTTGTTCATAACTCACTCGGTCTGGCGATCGCCAATACTTGATGACATATATTCTGTGTCCAAAATGCTCCCTTACTTCCCCACCATTCCCTACCACAAAGAAACAATTTTACTACTAAAATCAAAAAACCCACATATTATAAGAAGAAGTGGGTAAATTCGTCTTCCATTGCCTAAAAAGAAGAAGTCAAACCCAGTACAACTATTACCATGTATGTTGTAGAATAGACGTAGATATAGTCTCACATACCACTGTATTTTCTTTCTTATGTTGTTTGTAACTGCAATTAGCCCTCGGGCAAGTATTTGCAATAAACTTTCTTTACTATTTATGAAACTGCGGTATATCTGTATGATAAAGGCTTGTATGATCTAGTATTTAGAAATATGAATAATGGGTGTATATATTCATTATTACTTACTTCCCATGCAAAAGTTTAGGCTTCGGCTTATTTTTGACGACGTGTTTTAGGCATTTATATCAGGCTTCCTTTTTTTGTACCGGTACGCTGGCGTATTGGCCACTGCCCTGTCTATTTGATATGCTTGTGGCCACAAAAGATCTGTCTTTAGATCAAATTCTTACATCATAACTAAACTGATACACATGACTTACAATTATAAGGTAAAAAAAGCATAGCTTTCAGACGGCATCCACCATATGCATCTTTCTTCAGCTACTGACAATAATAAGACGTAGCGTTTTTTTCTTAGTTCCAAAATGTTTTGTTGGTTTAAGAAGAGATGAATAGCAGACTAAAGTAGGTGTCTTGTAATGGGACCTTCTCAACTCTATCACGTTTCTCTATCAGTCAGCTCAGCCCGCTATCTATAGTTGGGCGGCACACTACAGTGTCTGCATGCGTGGAAAAGTTTAACGGTAAATTTGGACGCTCAACTTTAAATTTGAGTGGGCCGGCTAAGGTTAACATTGAATTGAAATACTAGTAGCTCGCTTCTAGCGTGCAGACTCTCCCCACTTATATATAGGCCCATGTGTGAGCGGAGAAATTTCTATAGATAGGCCGAATAGGGTAGCCTCTACCAGGCTTGGGGAGGCGGCTGGAAAGAGTAGAAATCGGCCAAATAGAGAGATAAGCATGCCAAGGGAGTTTGTCCGTTGAGAGAACGTTTCAATGTTCTCTCAACGGACAAACTCACTTGGCATGCTTATCTCTGTTTGGCCGATTTCTACTCTTTCCAGCCGCCTCCCCAAGCCTGGTAGAGGCAGAGAAGTTACTATAGGACGCACACGTACATCTGTGGCAGGCTGACCCCTCTACCAGACGAAGCCTCCCCTATTTGGCAGGTTTCTATAATTTTCACAGCCAGCAAAGAAATCTGTCTGAGCTTAGATCGGACCGCACCAGACGGGGTCGGCTTGGGACTAGGGAGGGGTTGGCAAGGGTACTTGTGTATTAATGTCACTTTGTTATAGAATGTAGATTATATAGTAAAGAGATAAACGATCTGTATAAGCTTGTACAAAACCTATTTCCTTACTTCATACACTTGACCACTGCAGAAAAATTCATATTCCTAATGCGACTTGACAAACCTTCCATCGAAAAACATATCTGTTCCTTTATCCCTACTATAACTGAAAAGCGAGAAGTTGAATTTATGTAATGATAACTAGTTTTATTTTGTATGTATCTTTTCATCATGTCTTGTTTTGACCTGTACTTAGCCCAGGTCGTCATTCATTCATTCATTCATTCATTCATTCATTCATTCATTCATTCATTCATTCATTCATTCATTCATTCATTCATTCATTCATTCATTCATTCATTCATTCATTCATTCATTCATTCATTCATTATTTTCTGTTCTCTACATACATGTATAATTCCTAACCAAGAAAATACAATTTTTTCAGAAGAAACATAGACACAAATGTAAGAATATGTGTATTCGATATCCTCAGACAACGCTTTTTTGGGGTCAAATTTTCATTTTCATGCTTTGACTTTTATTTTTCTTTGTTTAATTTGCATTACAAGGAAATGGTGTCAAGTTCCGTTGTTTACGTTAAAGGTTAATTATTTGGGTCAGTCGAATCTGTAGTACAGTACATTACCATTGAACGCAACGGTTATTGATTTTTTTGTAGCTGCCTGAAGTTAGAGGCCTATACATTTCTCTAGTGGTACGGCTTTGGATATTGAGTAATGAATGTGTCGGATTGGTAATTTAAATACTGTGACGTCATTCCTCCTAAGGCCACGTTGATTTGATTATATGGATGACATCCTCTGGGAACCCCAAAATGTATGCGAGTGTGCGAATAAAAAAAGTTTGGCCCCCCAAAATTCCTTTCATTATGAAATCTACGAGGTTTAGAAGGTTGAACAAATGACACAGAGTATGGTTTGGCGAATAATCTAGTCTTTAAATTCATTTCTTTACATTTTTCGTACGATTTTCGTTTGGTTTTGGCATTCTACGACATTGGTATCGTTTTGCAATGTTTTCTTTTTGCTTACGGTATATATTTGCTCATTTTGGAACTGTTTGTACGATTTACAGTATGGTTGAAACTTTTTTAAAGGCCGAAAATTCATGCGCGCGCGGATGTCATCCATAAAATCAAATCGGCAAAATGAGTACAGTTCGCCAAACCGTATACTTTAGCATACCAACTCCCCTGGCATGTTTGCTATCTGTTTGACCAATGTCTATCTGTCCTTTGTTTTGCATTGGATTTCCATTTCTACGGCTGAATATGTAGTATTATGAGATATTCAGTGACTCTCAAATATCTCGCACAACACACCGAAATATCTGGCGCAAGAGGTCAAACATTTTCCTCGACACAAGCAGCCCGGTACATGTAGGCTAGCCCAAGACGCAATACGTCAATGTCGCTATATCTGACTTTGAAAAAAAAAAAACACGATTTTATCGAACAAAAAGGTACATTGAAACTCCATTGTCTCCCATTTTGTTCTATACAGAAGGTTCTAAATGAAATTAGAGCTACTCGCCATATGTGCCTTTTCAGTTCAGCGCCCTACTTCATTTTGTCAATGGCACGCAATGCAATATCAGGGCATCAAAACTGGAAAAACAGTTGTTTCAACTTTTTATATAGATAAGTGACAATAATATTGACTTTAAAAAAATTGTATTTCAAGCCGTAAAACTGCACTGTAAGTATAGACACAATATTGCCTCTCAAAAGAATGGGAGATCAAGTTATACCTTTCTACCTCATCTCTCCGTTCTGTGGTTAGTACACGGACCCTAGGACAATTCGATAGCCGCCATGGCAACCGGATACACCGTAGAGAGGGTGGCACTGCAGTTTTGTGTAACCTTGGCAGGTGGCGCCCGTGAAAAGGCAATTTTCAGGCTTGACCATTCAGCGAATCAGCGATAGCTTCGTCATCATAAGCAACGTGATTGGAACCACGAACGGACGAAGTTTAGTTGGTTGATTGTAGAATAAGGAATTGTTGTGTTTAGTCATGATTATCTCTTTCTTAACTCTACCTTTTTTGCAATACTTTAAAGGCTCCTAAAGGACGACGCCATCAAGTCAAACTTCCCGAAGTTCAAGGACATCCCGTACGGCTCCCTGCCGGGGAATGCCGCCATGCGTGCCCACGGCGCCAAGGTCTGACACTTTACTGTTCAAAGACTCTTTTATTCTGTCTGTAAGGCCACACCGACTTAATTTTATGGATGACACAGGCATTGACGTTCGCATGTTCTCAAAAAAAAAAAAAGATCACCTCCACCGAGGCTCTAGCCTGGCTCTAGGCCTGGATAGTCCATGGTAGTTAGCGACAATGCGAAGCCGGGCACCCAGGCTACCGAACTGAGACATCAGTACATATACGAACAGTGCCGATTCATACATTCCGCGAAAAGCCAGCATGTGCCGGCTTGTCGTATACGTCGCTAATTAGTACTGTCACAAGATCACAATACCTGCTTTGTATTCCTGTGGTTTAGTACCATTTTTATTTTTGTCCGTTTTTTTATTCGCCCGCGCGCCCTAGTTTGGTCTTCAGAGGATGGCATCCACGAAATTAAAATTAAGATAGTGTGGCATAACTTGTGTGTAAGTCTGATATTTTAATGTAATGAGCCTTCATCTATTAATTAACGCATTTTATAATAGTAATAATTACGGAAATGATTATAATGCCCTGGAACTTTTTTTCATTAATCAATCAATTATATAATTTTCAGAGCAATAATATAATTTTCCGCCCCAATTACAAGAGACCGGCCATTCTGTACAACAAGTGACGAATGACGAATAAACCATTATTGACGTCACAGTATCTAAATTACCATTATTATTAAAGGTCTGCAAGGTGCTGGACTCGTTCATCAAGGGTGACGACGGGGCCGCCACGAACGTCGGGAAGATGCACAAGGGCCTGGGGATGTCAAACGACCAGATCGGCGTAAGTTTACCACATTCGCAAGCATGTAGACATTATATATGAGAATTAAATTGCACTGGAATTTTTCTTTCACCCAACCCACGGTTTTTTTAATCTGGGCTTCTTTTTTTGCACCACAAACCCATGAAAGAAAAATTCCAGTGCAAAAAAGCAACCCCGATAAAAAAGTCTAGCAACACACCAAAAATAACCCAAAACCCAAACATCATATCAGTGCAGACTCCTTTACAGGCTGAATAAATAGTAGAAATCGGCTAAGGGGGACATCATTGGCCAGAGGATTTGGCCGGCCGCAACCTGGACCCTCTATGGCCGGCCAACTCCCCTGGACAATGATGTCCCCCTTAGCCGATTTCTACTATTTATTCAGCCTGCAAAGAAGTCTGTTGGAGACTAGAGCTGAATATGTCGAGGGACCCGGAGAAATATTGTAGTGGTTTGTTGTTAAAACTTAAAACACAGTAGATAGGCCTTGCAGCCACAGCTGAATTGAGCTTTACAGTACACAACAGGGTAACACGGCATAACTGTTTAAGCTCTGTTTGTTACAGATTTGTATGGAACCATGAGACTGACTAGTAGCTCTTCTCTCGTTCTGCATCAGGCGATGAGGGGTGCCCTTGTTACCGTGCTGGAGCAGTCCGGGCTGGGCGGTGCTGTGGGCGTGTGGGGAAAACTGTTCGACCGCTTCATGGAGGTCCACAAGGCCGCCTACTGAGCGCCCCCTGGCGTGGCCTTCAAGAAACACAACGGACCCACTACTTGCCTTCTTACCTCCTTCTTACCTTGAGCCATGTGTGTTGATTTAATGGTTCGATGCAGTAGAGGGCTTCACGAAAAAAAACCCCAGCAAAATAGTCTTTCTTCACGAGAACAATATGGGAGGATATCTTTCAAATCCTAAGGACAGAACGGGCGTAAACTTATGTGATTTTTGCCTCGAAGTTTTAATGATATAGCCTGGGTACCATTCTATTTGTATTCCCGTGTGGGAGCCCGGTTGTGTCCCAAACCGTGCCTGGGGCAAATCTACATTCTGGGACACGCGGTGACTGTCCCGAACCGTGCCTGACCGGGCACAGTTCCTGGACACACAAGGGCCTTGTCCCAAACCGTGCCTGGTACCGCCAATCACTATGATTGACAGCACTTCCGGGCACGGTTCTGGACAGTCAGGCTGTGTCCCGTTCTGTGCCCGCCCAGGCACGGTTTGGGGCAGGCACGGTTTGGGGCAGGCACGGTTTGGAACACAACAAGCCCCGGCATACAAATAGGACGATACCCAGGCTATTAATGATCTTGATCTGGGAACGGAAACAGCGGGGTAAGCCGTACAGAAAAATCACTGAGCGGAAAAATCTGTATATTACAGAAATATTGCTGTGTGTGGAATTTTGTAACTTGAAAACATGAAGGTTGACACATTTGTTCTCTTTGCTTGCCTACATACTAGACCAAAGTATCGCTTTTTAACTTAAAGCCCTTGTCACACATAGCTAAATATGACCTCCCGAACGCCCACCAAACATGGTTAGAACTATGTTTAAAGTTAAAACTTTTGTTCCAACACAAAAAATTCTCTCACCTAGAGCTTTCGACCAGTCACTCTGGTCTTCCTCAGTAGACTGACCCAGTGAAGCTTGTCACGTGGCTTCTTTGAAGTGTGACGTCAACACTGGGTCAAAGGTATCTGGTAGACGATGTCGACCCCCGTCGCGGTTCAATGTAGGGTGATGGGCCCTGATGTATATGGCTTCCTTCACCCCTCTACTGAGGAAGAACAGAGTGACTGGTCGAAAGCTCTAGGTGAGAGAATTTTTTGTGTTGGAACAAAAGTTTTAACTTTAAAAATGTAACTACCAACACAGATGAACTTTCATGATAGTATGGTAAGAACGAGGTCGGTAGCAAGGTCTGATGTGGTTGGCTGATATATGTGGCGAGGTCGGCTGTAGTTCGGCTCCACCAATCGAATGTTTCAAGAAGTTTAAAAAGTTCAGTTGTTAACAGGACGAGAGGTTCAGTCATGCTTGGCTGGTGGTTGGCTGGTATTCGGGAGTAGGTCAACAGAACTCGGGGTGTGGTTGGGAGTCCCATTTGACTCAAATTTAACTCAAATATGACTCGATTCATATTGAAAGGTGGGCATGGTCTAAATCCGGTCAGACTGCAACCGAACTTCAGCCGACCCTAGTTGGTTGGTGGTTAGGAAGGTTCTGAAAGTGTGAAATGGGCTTTACTTTAAATAAAGAGAAGCACTTTTTTAACAGCCTTTGTTCTATATATTTTCCTATTGACTCTCATTGTCAAGATCCTACACTGCAACTGTGTAACGAACTATTCATATTAAACTGCCAAAATCCATAACGAGATGTGTGTTATTGTTGTCTTTATGAATGAATGAATGACTTTATTTCAGGTTATCCCCATAGTACAGACATAAAACCACAAAAACACTAAACATACAGTAATTTATACACATTTTTAAAATACATATTTCTGAACTGACAATCAGACCTCAATAGACAGTATGTTATACTATTGTTGGTGGCGTAAAGTCTATTGAAGTATTTATAAAAGTATCTTTCTACTGTGCGACCGAGAGGTATAGCTCGGAATTTACATACGAAACTTATTCCGTCGATTGCCGTAAAGTACAGGAGTACAGATTGGTTACAAAAACAAAGCAGTTTAGTTTAGTTTTAAAACTTATGAATTGTGTGTAACGCCGCAAATGTATAATCAAGTACGGTTACTCGTAGTAGAAATTCTTCGATCAGTGACTGTGTTTTTGTAAGGTAGATTACATACCTCCAAATTTTCGATGTCCACTGTACATCTTGTTCACGGAGTGACCTAGTCTCGCGAGAACACGAGACTAGGTCGAGACTTGCAATTGTGTGGATCTTCTGGCCTCCCCTGCCTCCTTTCGGAGAAGGGGTAGGTAGGACTTGGGCAGCTCCCAACCTTCATTGCGATTCATCCCTGCACGTTCCAACTGGATGTGGACCGCTTTCTTAATCTTTCTATGTGCCTTCCGGGATTCCTGGTCTATGATCTTAACGATGTCCAAGATAGGGCCGTTAGTGACCCTATGTCCCGCTTTGAGTTCATGTTGGCTAAGCGATTTACCGTCCTGGCGGTCTACAGACCTCTGATGTTCGTCAGTCCGTTCACCTAGGGACCTTTCGGTTTCACCTACTTACACCTCACCACACTGCTCACATGATATTTTATAAATAGTACCACACTTTTCACTGGGAAGTAGTGGGTCTTTTGGGCTGACAAGGGCATTGTGCAGTGAATAGCCTACTAACTGTTAATTCTACGTGACTGATGAACCTCTTCAACTATCATCAAGTACATAAGCAGTCAAATCACGTTCTGTGACTGCAGCACAGATTCATCGAATGCCTTGACTCTGTGTTTACAGAATTTGCTTCTTTATATTCCACGCATACAACTACCAGATCGTGATATCCACTGTAGTATTTTTGACTGGTAATTTCTGCCAAAAAGTCTATTACGAATTAGTTATTACCTCATATTAAGACCATATTTTGATAGTAACAGCATAGCCATTTTATATTCAACTGTTTACGTACATCCATCCTAAGCAACGCCTCCCTTCTCCTTATAAAATCTATCAAACACTTAAAACATGTTTTATATCGTACACAATAAACATATGCTGCTGGCTGCCCATGTCCTAAGTTCAGTAGAATTTAGTTTTATAACCCTTGAGTGCTCCTCCCATTCTGATACCCCGTACTATTCCTAACATCATTGAATCCGAGTTGTTTTCGAAGGGCATATACATTGTATATGTAATTTTATAAGATTCGTCTGGTAACTGCTTACATAATGGCATGATCTTTGACATTTTAAAAACCGTACGTGTCCCAATGTGGTTTTGTTCACGTGCTTTTTAATTGGTCTCGTAATGTTTTATTCAACCGAGTCTTCAAACCAATGTACATGAGACCCGTGCACAGAAGTACATGACGACACGTGTTTGCTGGTACAGGCGACCATTTTCCCAAATACTGTTGCGAGTGGGGACTACTGTTGCAATGTAGACTGTCAGAGTCGGCAAGAACTAAGGTATTTGGGGTCCTTTTCTCCTCCACTTTGAGATATGAGGTGATTTTGCAAAACGTTGTGTTATGGTGTTTGGGATTTTGTAACATTGCTATGTGCATACATGTAGCCCCAGTACTCGCTATCGCGTCACATTGCCCTTGATTACACGATCCCAAAATGTGACAAAATATACACAATATCAGGGATTATTTCAGTGAAGTTTTATTAGTGCTTGTGTACAAAAATTGACATGCATGATGATTTGTAAAATAGATTTTAAGATAACATCTTGTGGGATGCCACTAAACCAGTAGAAGCGACTCTAAGGCTATACCGACTTAATTTTATGGATAACAACCCCGCGCGCATTGATTTTCGCCTGTCGCTCTAAAAAAAAAGATCACGTCCACCGAGGCTCTGGCCTGGGTTGTCCATGGTAGTTCGGGACAATTCAGAGCCGAGCAGCCAGGCTAACGAATTCGAAGCTCCACGACTCAAGAACTCAGTACATACGTACAGTACCGATTCATAAATTCCGCAAAAAAGCCGGCATGTGCCGGCTTGTCGTATACGTCGCCGCGAATTCACAATACCAGCATCGTATTCCTGTGGTTTAGTAGCATTTTTATTTTTGGCCGGAATTTTAATATTCCTCCGGGCGCACTAGTTTGGGGGTCTTCAGAGGATGTCATCCATAAAATTAAATCGGTGTGGCATAAGAATAAATCTACGAATTTGTCTACGAATTAGGTCCCGTGACTACACTTGCAGAGCTCATGAAAAATCGAAAATGCTGTCCGAAGGTTACTCAACGAGCAGAGATTTAGGCTTCAGCTTCTTTGTATTGTTTATTAGGTTTTCTTTGTTGTACCGGCATTCTTTTTTTGCCAGCCAAACTGCCCGGGTACCCTGCAAATTTGATACTGTTTTGCGTATTTGATACCGTCTTAAAGCCACCAAAACAATATATGAAAGAATGTACAACCTACCCTCAACAGGGAAGGGGGGCTACGGGTCGATCTCTCCGGCACTTGATATTTGGCACTCCCAGCCCCGAGGACAGACAACACTTGTATAACAGGATCTTTCTGACTAATTTACATTATCTTGTCTTGACTTGTCTGACTTTTGTTCCCTTTTCGACTTCCAAAAAATTGTCTTCACTTTATTTGCATATCAATCAATAGTTAGTGCTTATAAACCTGCATTTCTCCTCTGGTCTCTCAGTCACTGACGAAAGCTGGCGGATGCTAGCTGAAACGTCTGACCGTTTCCAACATCATATCCAGTTGCTTGAGTAACTGCTTTTTGGCGTATCGTATTACCTGGATGTCTAACCTTCATCCACGAGCCACCAAAACAACTGCTTGAATATTAGTCTGAACTGTTTGGTCGTATGTAAGAGTTTAACCTTTTATGTGCTATGTCTGCTTTGCTTCCTGGTGCGTAACAATTGTGTGATGTTTTACATATTAAAAATCACACACACATAAAGAAGGAAACGGCACGAAGATGTCGGAAAGGGACAGAAAGCACAAAGACGTACATGGTAAAGATGCCTTTGCTGTGAGCTCTATGCTGAAACGACCAGTGCCTGAACTACCACCTCGCAATCGTGTAAAACGATCTAAAGACGTCACCCTGGACAAGAGCTATGAAGACACAGATGGTAAGGATGGCTTTGCATTGAGCTCTGTGCTCAAAAGACCAGTGCCCGAACTGCCACCTCGCAATCACGACAATGGATCTAAAAACGTCACCCAGAACAAGAAGCCTGAACACAGTGATAGTAAGGATGCCTTTGCTGTGAGCTCTATGCTGAAACGTCCAGTGCCCAAACTGCCACCTCGCAATCGTGACAAAGGGTCTATAAACGTAACCCAGGACAAGAGATCTAAAAACATGGATAGCAAGGATGTCTCTGCACTGAGCTCTGTGCTGAAACGACCAGTGCCTGAACTACCACCTCGCAATCGTGACAAAGGATCTAAAAACGTCATCCATGGCCAGAACAAGAAGCCTGAACACATGGATAGTAAGGATGCCTTTGCTGTGAGCTCTATGCTAAAACGACCAGTGCCTGAGCTACCACCTCGCAATGATGTAAAAGGATCTAAAAACGTCATCCATGGCCAGAACAACAAGCCTGAACACATGAATAGTAAAGAGGCCTTTGCTCCGAGCTCTATGCTAAAACGACCAGTGCCTGAACTACCCCCTCGCAATCGTGTGAAAGGATCTAAAGACGTCACCCAGAACAAGAAGTCTAAACACACGGATGGTAAGGATGGCTTTGCATTAACCTCTGTGCTAAAACGACCAGTGCCTGGGCTACCACCTCGCAACCGTGTAAAAGGACCCAAAGACGTTACCCAGAACAAGATGTATGAAGACACGGATGGTAAGGATGGCTTTGCATTAACCTCTGTGCTGAAACGACCAGTGCCTGAACTACCACCTCGCAATCATGACAAAGGATCTAAGGACGTGGATAAGAAGTATGGGTACGTGGATAAGAAGGGCAAAGGCGCGAACAGGAAGTATGAAGATGTTGACAGGAAATATGAAGACGTGGATGGTAACGATATCCTTGCTTTAAGCTCTTTGCTGAAGCGACCGGAGCCCGAACTGCCGCCTCGTCACCGTGACAAAGAATCTGAAGATGTGGACAAAAAATCTCCCAAAGACGTGTACAGGAAGTACGAAGACGTGGACGGTAAAGCTGGCTTTGCACTGGGTTCTCTGCTAAAACGACCAGTGCCTGAACTGCCCCCTCGTCACCGTGACAAAACATCTGAAGACGTGGATAAGAAGGAAGAAGACATAAACATGAAGGGCGAAGACGTTGACAGGAAGTACGAAGATGTGGACGGCGAAGATGGCTTTGCATTGAGCTCTGCCCTGAAACGGGAGGTGCCCAAAGAACCACCACCTCGTAACAACAAAGAGCCCGACGCCGTGGACGGCAAAGATGACTTCACATCCAGCTCTGGACTTGAACGTGAAGTGCCCAAGGCGTCCCCTTCTCGAGCCCACTATCTTGACATGGGAGACCATGCATACGTAGTGGACGATGAAGCGTACAATGGAGACACGCTTCCTGATAACAGCTACAAACCAGACGACAATGCTGAAGATGGAAATCAGAAGAAGTGCTGCTTTGGATACAAAGCAAAAGGTAGGTCCAGTTGCAAGTAACTCATCTACAAGCAAATATACTATTACATTGTAGCAATATTCAATATAAAAATTCAATTTATTTACATTCTCTGTATTGGTGATACAAGTAAGTATCTGTAGAGCATACAGAAAATAGCAGAGATTCTGTATATGATTGCAGTGGATCTTGGGGATAATTTCTGTGATGTTGAATTTTAAATCCTTGAAATATCCAAGAAGATAGCATTGTTGACCACTGAGGAGCTTGCTATAACCACACAGGAAACATGTTGGTAACAGTCAGAGGGTCAAAACAAGAGGCTGTGAAAGAATGATATTCATAATTGTTTTTTTCTGGAACCTTCTGTAGCTAAAATCCATGAGTACTACCATTTCTTTTCATCTTATTCATCGACTTATGTTAGTACTACAAAGATTTTCTCCGAGTTTGATATGGATTTAATGTAAGAACTTTAATGTTTAAATACATTTTCAAGTAGCTGGATGAGGGGGCAATATGGTGTAGGTTTGTTTAGTCATAGGCACCTGTTGTTTTGATGTTGTTTACGCGGCAAGAAAAAACACCTTCAATGACTGCGGTACGAAATTAACATTTTTTTTACGACAGGGACGCCTTTTTCTCATTCAGGGTTGTCATTTCATTTTATATCTCAGAGCGTGCCATAAAAATGTGGAATAAGTTCAAATCTAGAAGACGTTTTTGGCTTGCTCTGGCCGTGGGTTGCGCACTGGTGCTGTTAGTGGCTGTTGTCTCTTCTGAAGTCCTCTCAACTTACATGTATCTAACATCTGACAGTAAGGTAGGCAAACAAGTCTTCATTCACGTCTATTTGATTCGATTGAAACGGCGAAGTCATCTTTATTTAATTTATCTTTTTAATGTGAATTCATTCAAAACATTCTGTATCATTAGTTATACTTTATAAATATTTATTGTAACCAATCCAAGAGTGCCCCCCCCACCCACTCAACACACACGTCATTGTAAAATTACGAATGAATATTAATAAAACTTTATGATTTCTTGATCGCAAAGATGAAAAAAAAACCTTATAATACCTGTTTGTTCAAGACACTCTGAGTTTTCTTTTAATGAACGATGTACACATATTTTCCATAGGAACACGATACCAGTATTCAAGGTAACATGACGATCGAAAAGAATCCAGTTACCCCATGGGTCCAGGATTCGTACATGGAAAACATCTCAACTGCTGCAAATTCAATTTCCTTCTCTTCACCATGGAGTTCGACACCAACGCTGACAGCAGAATCGACGACAACTGCCAGGACCGTCGGGAACGGCGAGACCTTCTCCGTTAACCTCACAACTCGACCAACAACAACCCTCACAACTGAGCCAACAACCCTCACAACTCGACCAACAACCCTCACAACTCGACCAACAACAGCCGTCCCAACTGGGCCAACAACAACCCTCGCAATTCTGCCAACAACCATTACAAGTGGGCCAACAACAACCTTCACAACCGGGCCAACAACAACCCCCAAAATTGGGCCAACAACAACCCTCACAACTGGGCTAATAACTGTCACAATTCTACCAACAACAACTCTCACAACTCGGCCAACAACCCTAACGATTCTGCCAACAGCAACTCTCACAGTTCCACCAACAACAACTCTCACAACTGGGCCAACAACAACCCTCACAATTCTGCCAACAACCCTTACAGCTGGGCCAACAACAACCCTCACAACTGGGCCGACAACAACCCTCACAACTGGGCCAACAACAACTCTCACAACTGGGCCAACAACCCTAACGATTCTGCCAACAGCAACTCTCACAACTGGACCAACAACAACCCTCACAACTGGGCCAACAACAACCTTCACAACTTGGCCAACAACAACCCTCACAACTGGGCCGACAACGACCCTCAAAACTGAGCCAACAACAACCCTCACAACTGGACCAACAACAACCCTCACAATTCTGCCAACAACCCTTACAACTGGGCCAACAACAACCTTCACAACTGGGCCAACAACAACCTTCACAACTGGGCCGACAACGACCCTCAAAACTGAGTTAACAACAATCCTCACAACTAGGACAACAACAACCGTCACAACTGGGCCAACAACAACCCTAACGATTCTGCCAACAGCAACTCTCATAACTGGGCCAACAACAACCCTCACAATTCTGCCAACAACAATCCTCACAACTGGGCCAACAACCGTCACAATTCTGCCAACAACAGCCCTCACAGTTCGACCAACAACAACCCTCCCAATTCGACCAACTCTCACAACTCGACCAACAACAATGCTCAAATCTCGACCAACAACAAACCTCACATCTCCACCAACAACCCTCACAACTGGACAAGCAACAACCCTCACAACTGGACAAGCAACACCTCTCTCAACACGACCAACAACAACAATAGGTAAGACTAATTTGAAAAGAAATAACATACGTATGTCGATATATCATACCTGTGTTACTAGTATCATGAAAAACCATCTGCGTTGGTAATCCCATGTTTAAAGGTAAAACGTTTGTTTCACCTATGGTGAGAACATTTCCTTTTTGTGTTGGAACCTAAGTTTTACCCTTAAACTTATAACTGTATTGATTGTAAAGCGCCTTTTCCTGTATGAAATAGAAAAGAATGCATGTGTGAGGAAGCCATGCAAACATGGACGCTGCATCATCCACGATGGCGGATACAGATGCGAATGCTCATCTGCATGGACTGGACTAAACTGTCACCAAGGTGAGGTCTTGATGTCTAGTCAATGATGTCACAAGTTACTAAACTTACCTTGTAGGTATCTAAAGCTTAATCAATTTTCCAGATGGTCTGTCCTTTATTGAAACTGTTGGGAATGAATGAGTCACTGACGAAAGCTAGTGGTTACCAGCTGAAATTTCTGACCGTTTCCAAAAAATCATATCCAGTTGCTTGAGTAACTGCCTTTTGGCGTATCTTATTACCTGGATGTCTAACCTTAATCGACGTATGTTGGGAATGAATCATAGATTGATTGCATTTTGTATGCTGACATTTGATGATATGTATTTTATGTACAGATATTGACTACAGATAGTGGCAACATCGTACATGATAATGATATCTTTCACACAGATATCAATGAGTGCAGGTTGATGCTTTGTCAGAACGGTGCGACTTGTAAGAACTATGTTGGCAGCTTCACTTGTGCCTGCTCTCCTGGATGGACTGGAAAAATATGTCAGAAAGGTGAGCTCCTTTTGTGCTGTGTATGATCCTTTCAGTGTGCAATGACAGTTACCTCAGGATACTAGTATATGCTTCAATCAATATTGACCATCATAGTAAAATCCTAATTGATGTCGGCCCTACAGCTTTGCCTATGGCTGAACAGTCCTCAACGAGAATGTCAGTCTCTGCCACATAGGGCACATCTGTAAGCTGACTCAGTTCTGTTGCAGAGTCACTCTCTGCTACATAGGGTACATCTGTAAGCTGACTCAGTTCTGTTGCAGAGTCACTCTCTGCTACATAGGGTACATCTGTAAGCTGACTCAGTTCTGTTGCAGAGTCACTCTCTGCTACATAGGGTACATCTGTAAGCTGACTCAGTTCTGTTGCAGAGTCACTCTCTGCTACATAGGGTACATCTGTAAGCTGACTCAGTTCTGTTGCAGAGTCACTCTCTGCTACATAGGGTACATCTGTAAGCTGACTCAGTTCTGTTGCAGAGTCACTCTCTGCTACATAAGGCACATCTGTAAGCTTACTCAGTTCTGTAGCAACATAGGGCACATCTGTAAGCTTACTCAGGTCTTTTGCAGAGTTCCTTTCTGCTTCTCTCCTGCACAGTGCACCAGTCTAGCTTCTGATGATTTTAGCTGCCTGGTCAGTGTAAACGTCGGTCATTGCTAATTAATAAGGTCCTGCCATTGCTCTGTGTCAATGTTTAGAGACTTCAAGTCAGACATCGTTGAAACGCAGTTGTGGCCGCCCCGTGTTTCTCTTTCCTGAGATCAATAAAAGAATATATTAATGTTTAAAAACTATATTTGCTGACAGTCCGTAGCTTATTGAATCTTTTGGGATCGATGGATATCGTTTTGAAGTGTTGATATTTGATGATTTCTATTGCACAGATATTGACGATTGTGATGGAAACCCTTGCCAGCACGGTACGTGTCTGAACAAAGTTAACGGATACGACTGTACCTGTTCACATGGATGGACTGGACGGAACTGTCAGCAAGGCGAGTTAACGTTTCTTTGTGTAGTTATATTTTTTATTTGATTAACAATGTCAAAAGTGAAAGAATTTTTTTTCAAAATTTTCTTTCCAGGGGGTTTAGTGTTGATGGAAACATTTCGATTTAAATCTTACATCGATATGTGACGTTTAGATTTCTAAGCAGAGTTGAAATTTAATTATATATTTTGTTAACAGATGTTGACGAGTGTATGAGGAAACCTTGCCAGCACGGTACTTGTGTGAACAAAGATGGCGGATACACCTGTACTTGCAGACCTGGATGGACTGGACGGCTCTGTCAGTTTGGTAAGCGCCTGGCCTTTTGTGTAGTCAGTGATGTCGAAAGTTACCTCAGAGGAATGTTTTAAGATAGTCTTTTCAGAGGCTTCACTTATTGAAAGTTTTTTTTAATAGATCATAGATAGATAGTGTTAGGATGTCTAACCAGTCTAGAGTTTTGAAATAAAGACTGAGTCTTTAACTTCCAACACTAGATACAGAATTGGGACTTACCCCAAATTTTCGGTTGACTCCATCAAC